ACACCTTTAGGGACTAGGAAACACTTGGACCAAGTGTTAGAATCACATGTGATTCATCTAAAGGGAGTGTACGGCCACAATGAGGAGTGTGCGGCCATGGGTGTACGGCCATGGAGTGTGCGGCCACACACTCTTGGTAACAAGTGCACAAAAGTGTCTTTTAATGATAGGGAAGCTTTGGGGACAATTGCTCATCAAGTGTTGAAGCTAGGTTTACACTTTGAAGGCCCTTTAGGGGTGTACGGACACACATGAGTGTACGGTCGTACACTCCTTATGTTCTTGAGTTATGGACGAATTAAAGGTGTTAAATAAGTGTTCCTAACATGAACTAAGCATAGGTAAAGAGTACATACGATTTGGAGGCTCAAGAGGGTTCACAATCACCAAGAACAAGTGTGTGTTCTTGGTGTTCTTGGTGAAATGGATGAAGATTTGAAGATCTAGCCAAAAGATGATTTGCATGGATGAAATCAAAGGGTGTTACTAGGTGAAGAAGGATAACAACAAATCAAAACGGAAGAAAGGCTTACATTCTTGAAGATCGGGGTGAAAAGCTTGATGATAGTTGAGAGAAAACTCGAGTTCTTGACTTAGAAACTGAAGAAATGACTTAGAAATGGAAGGATACTCTAAATATGGGCAAGGGTGTACGATTATGATGGGTGTGCGAGTGTGCGGCCGTACACTCCCTCTAATGGAGTGTTGGGCTCGATTTCCACGCGAAGAACTTACGCAACTCAATCCTATACCCAATGCTTGAAAGTAGTGAGCTTAGAACCCTTAAAACAGACTCTAAACAATGCTAACTGATAGCAGAAACGGGTCTGACACTCAGTTGAATTGAATGGTTGGACTTTACAAGGAAAAAAATTTCGGGTTCTCACATCATCCCCCCCGTTAGATGGAATTTCGTCCCGAAATTAGCTTTCTTAGCAGTACTACTGAGGTTGCGCTTCTCTGATTGGCAGAATACCCACTCGTAGACCTGGGCAATTTTGCCCTAATGTCCATGATAGGATTCCTACCTGGTCCATCTATTATTACCTCGTGTATACAAGTCGTATATAATTAAGATTAGTTAGACGGTCGGATGTGTGACTCTGCCCCAGGTCCACAACCAAACAAGGAACAGGAGATAGGGCGGAAGCACACATACTAAATATGCGTAATCATAATCATATACCACCCTCGCGTATACACTGAATAGTGATAGGTGGGCTGTATTCATCCTTAGCCTCTGTGCTTGAACTTGATCTGCTGAACGAGTGGTATTTCGGGAAGGTCTGTTGAACATACGGCGGCAAGGCTTCGGAGGGCAAAGTACTCTTCGCATGAGTACTTCGGGGTTTAGAATACGAGGTAGACGATTCCGAGGTCTGGGTTGGACTGTCATTACGAATGACGAGGGTTCCATGAATTTGACGGTCGATGCGATAGAAACATATGAACTTAGTATGGTGAGGACAACGCCAACTCATGACGAACGATAGCAACGGACTCTTTACTGAACAAAAGTTTGGCCGATTTGAAAGAAATGTTTGCTATACGATGATGTATCTCTAGTGTGCTCGACAATGAACCCTGTGTATACTTTCTAGTGCTTTCTGTTTTCCCCTTGATGTTAACACTTCTACGTATCATACTGCGATGAGCGAGTACATACAATGAAAGTGCTTTGATAACTTGTGTCGATACTTTATACTAAGATTCTTCTCGGTACCACTATGATCGCCTAACATATACAAGTTATGAATAATTAAGATGAATAGGACGGTCGACTGAGTAACTCTGCCCCAATTCCACAACTAAACAAGGAACAGGAATTAAGGCGGAATCACTCACTCTAAGTCTGTAAAATCTTAGCTATGCATAACCCTGATGTACATACTAAGCCATCATAGCTTCTCTGAATGAATCTTTTAGTTCTCTTGAATACTGTGACTTGTTTAAATAAATGAGTTATTATAATTACTTTTAAGTGTTTTCCCCAAGTTTTAATCTTATATATAAAATATAAATTAATTTTTAAAGTAATTCTTTAATTCGAAGACGTGCCGCTGGTCGCTGGCGACACCGGGGTAGATTCTCTTGCGGTGATCATCAGAATTCGTCCATCCGCTCCTGAGTTCTTTGTTATCGGGCAATCCCTCCTATAGTGTCTATTCTCACCACATCCATAGCAGGCTTGGTTTTCTTTAACTCCGGGGACTTGGGAGATCGGTTGACCCGGTGCCCTGCAGAAACGGACTGTGTGTCCCTTTCTGTGGCAGTTCAGACACTGCATTTCCCGACATACTCCGGTGTGGTGATAGTTGCATTTTCCACACTTCGGGAGGGTTCCAGCATATCGAATGGCAGGTGCTGGAGTAGCAGGTGTTGTGGCGGCGTATATAGAACCCTTTTGTTGCTCCTGCGGGGTTTCCTGTGTTGTTCGCTCTTTCCTCTTTTTCCCCGACTTTCGTTTATTGTCCCCTCCCTTAGATGGCTCGGGAACGGGGACCACCACGCCATGGCGGACTCCATGGTCAATGAGTCGCTGTGCCAGGCGTTTGGCACTATCGAATGTGGTTGGGTTAGAAGACAGCACATCTCCTTGGATTGGGGCAGTTAGACCCCAGATGTATCTTTCTATCTTCTTGCACTCCGGGGTAACCATCCCGGGGCATAGTGCTGCCAGGTCGTTAAACCTGTCAGTGTAGGCCACTATGTCTGAGCCAACCATCGTGAGCTCCCATAGTTCTTGTTCCAGCTTTTGAACTTCGCCCATCGGGCAGTATTCTTCCAGCATTAACTCTTTTTAGGTTCTCCCAACCTATTGAGTTAGCCACTGATAGGGTCATCTTACACATAGATATGAAGTATTTGATATAAATTACGTGCTATGTGTGCATATTATTTGAATACTTGCCTTCTATGCTGGATGAACGATTTTATACATGTTTTAAATAATTTAAATTGTATATGTATTTTATATCTACGAATATGTTGGGTAAAACATGGGTAGATGAATGATGAGAGATGAAAGATGATATGAGTGAACATTGGCAGCTATAAACTTAGTGTCTAACAAATAACATCGCAACTATGGACTTAGTGCCTATCGAATAAACATGGGTAGCTATGGACTTAGTACCTGTTAGATAAACGTCGGTAGCTATGGACTTAGTACGTGTTAAATAAACTTTGGTAGCTATGGATTTAGTACCTATTAGCTGAACACTGGTAGCTATGGATTTAGTACCCGATGAATGAACTTTAGCAACTACGAAATTAATGCTTTACGAACAAGCGTTGGCAGCTATGGACTTAGTGCCTATCATATAAACCCTGGAAGCAATGGGCTTCGAAATGAACGAATGCAAGATAGATGATTCTTAGGTTAGATCCTTACGAGTAAGGAAGATAATGGGGATGGGTAATTTGGTTGATTGTTTGATGTTTAAACATAATAATTAAATTATCGTGGGTTGGAAACCCTATGTACTCACCAGGTGTCGATATGAAGCTACTTTACACTGGGGGATTTAAAAGAGATGTAGATCACTAGTGTAAATGAATGTAAGATCTGTTTATGCTTATGTTTCTGTATTGACGATGACATCCCAAATGTTTTAAAATGGATAAAGATACATTTCTTCGGAAATGCTTTGATAACGTATTTATCATGTTTTTCTGGGAACAAATTCCGCAACGTTTTTATTAAAAGAGGTACTCTGATTTTTATAAAGCATAAACAAAATCGGTCTTTTCTGTCCGTGAAAATGGGGATGTCACATTACATGACCTTGTGCTGCATAAGGTACAAGTATTGCATGTTGCTTTCCCATCTCTATTTTTTACATATGTTTAACCAATTTGCTTTCCCCACCAATAATCAAACATCTTCAAATCATTTGTATTGAGTCACCATGTAACTGATACCATCAACATATACAAAACATGAGACCAGAAAACATGAAAACGCAGCACAAGGGAATGAAGAAAAAAACACAGATAACATGAAAAAAATCATTTTCTTTGATTGAAACCAGAAAACATGAAGAAAAAAAAAAGCAGAGGCAAAAGCAATACAGAGGGAAAAAACGCATCCTTGTTCTCGTTCTAGTAAGAAATTAGCAAACATTTGGACAATTACTAATTTTATTCTTCCTGTAGATTTGTATTTTCGGATGATATCTACAATGTTTAGGAGGTGATTTAAACTTGAGCAGGATGAATCATTAATCAAATTACCTTGCACCTTTCAAGCAAAACAAAAGAAAAAACTTAGGGCAAAGCATATGATTGCAGATCGGAGGCGATTTCAAGCAAACCTGGAGGGCTTCGCTGTTGGCGGCGATGACGTCGCTGTCGGATGCGACATCGCTGGGGGAGTGGGAGACATAGGCGGTGGTCGCCCGGTGGCGGATGGGCTGGCCGATTTACAGATCGGAGATGCAATGGGGATGGAGCGTCGTGTGTTGTGAAAGAGAAGAGGGAAAGTGGGGACGCAATATTAAGGGCAAGCATGTCTATTTTTTATTCAGATTTGGTTTCATATCTGAAAAAATAAGAGGGGTATGATAAATTAAGAGGTAAAAATTCAGATGTTACCAAACACTCTTAATCTGAAAAGTTAAGAGGTTGCCTCTTAATTTGTCAATTAAGAGGCTATCAAACAGCCCCCTAATACTAACTAGGAGGTCATGGGTTACATTCCAGTGAAAAGAGAAAAATAATTATTTGCCGTTCAAAAAAAAAATATTATTGTAAAAAAAAAAATATTAAAGAATTGCTAATTTTTGTAAGATTTTCCAAAAAAATCATTTAAGGTTTGTTAACTTTTCCGGAAAAAGTTATAAGTGGTTGGGTACCAGTAGACACAATAAACAAGCGGAGATAATTGTATCTTGATTTGACTATCCTTTTTGTTTTCTGGTGATATCTCCCGTCTTCTCTCTCAACCCAAACCCTTATCAAAACCCTAGAAGTCACGGAAAAAGCTCCAAGGTGCAACAATGGAGTCTGCTCTCTCAACTAGATTACAATCGTCGTTCCATCACCGGAAAAATCCATTTTTTAATCCATCCAGTTTAAACCTTATCAACTCAAACCCCTCTTTCCCCCTATCAAAACAATTTAGACAATCCGCAGTTAAAATCAAGGCCTCCGCCGCTTCCGATGCCACTAAACCCACAAATAACCCCTTCATACAAAGCCTCAAGCTCGCCGCTCGCGCCATCGTATTCTCCGCCACTGCCGCTGTCGTTATCTCTAAATTTCAACAATACCCCGCCATGGCCGAACCCAGTATCCAGAGTGTCGTAACAACAGAACCCGCAACACCTGAAGAAAGTCAAGAAACCCTTTTACCGGAGTTTCTGGAGTCGAACTCCGAAGCGATTTCCGCCATGAAAACTTTACTCGAACAGAAATTAGAAGCAGGGGAGGATGAAGAGAGCTTAAAAATCTTGAAAAAACTCGTTTCTGCCCAACCCGAAAACATCGACTGGAAATTCCTGATGGCGAGATTGTTGAATGAAATGGGCGAGGTGGAACCTGCTCGAGCTGCATTGGAAGAAATTCTGACGCAAAATCCACTTTCTTTCGAAGCATTATTTGAGAACGCATTATTGATGGACAGTTGTGGAGAGGGTGATGCAGTGATCAAGAGATTAGAAAAAGCTTTGGAGATTGCAGAGGAGGAAAATAAGGAGAAAGAAGCAAGGGATGTACGCTTGATCATAGCTCAAGTTCAGTTTTTGCAGAAAAACATTGATGAAGCATTGAGGAGCTATGATGAGCTTCTTAGTGAAGACCCAAATGATTTTCGACCATATTTTTGTAAAGGAATGATATATAGTTTGATGGACAAGAACGATGAAGCTAAAGTTCAGTTTGCCAAGTATCGTGAGCTTTCACCCAAGAAGTTTGAGGTGGAAGGATACATTCGATCACCATTGTCAAGAATGAAGCTTTTTGGGACTGATGACCAGAATTGATTCATGGGTATTTTCCAAGAGTTTGAAACAGAGAGACGATATGGTTTGATCCTAACCAATGTAGCAGGCGGTATGTTATTGATTTACTGCAAAATAAACATGATAATACGGTTTTTGATGGTTTCATTATGAACTTTATGGTGCCCTTTTATGGTTGAAGTATACCTTGTTTCAATTTGATTGTTTCAAGTACTTGTTCCAATAAGAAACAACTAATGTTTACAATATTTTTGGATTCCAAACGTGAATCTTTAGCTTTGGGTCATTTGGGCATCGTTTGTCTATAAATATCTAGCTAAGCTTCCTCTCATGTTCACTTTCACTGCTTCTTGAGATGAAAGCTTTCAATTAGTTCGAAATTAGATGGAAAATTCTGGTCCGTTTTTTTAATCTTGAACATGTTATGGTGGGATCTTGGATCTGTTCATTCACTTGATAAACAGCATGATTTAGGTACCCATCGTTTGTTGGAAGAAATTACTGAACTCCTAAGTAGTTAATTAATATTTATGAGGAATAGTTCGTTGGTTACAAGTTACAAGTGATGGATCTATTGATTAGTCGTTCTTCTAACAAAAGAAAAGCAAGATCATTGTAAATCACAAAAAAAGAATTGTCATGTAAATTTTTTGTAATTACTCGCTATATCAATGAAAAATAAGGCAAATATTAAAAATTTAAAACACAAGCACACCACAAGTACAGAATGCACGATGATTTACGTGGTTCACTCGATTTATGAAACCTAACTATGTAGATGGGCAAACGAAAGAGGATTTTATTGATATGTGTTGAATTATACTTTTCTATTTGGCTTAGGAACCCCGGGTGTTTGGATTAGTTTATTAGCTTATTGCTTATTAGCTTATTTGCGGTAGGAATAAGCAATAATAGCTTATTTGTGGTAGGAATAAACAATAAACAAGAGGGGAGATGTTTATTAAAATTAGTTTATTTCTAACACAATAAGCTGTTTTTTAAGGATTTTATCCAAACACTTAAACTTAGCTTGTTACGGTGGAAATAAACAATAAGCACCCTATTTTTTTCCTATCCAAACACCCCCTTACAATAATTCATAGGGAAACTATTTATAGAAAGAAATTGACCTAAAAATTGCAAATAAGGTCAAACTGTGAGAGAGACCGACAAATCTAGCTCATGACACATTTTGAAGACGAATCTGATATAAAATTTACCCACTGATCAGACTTCATAACTCATGGTCACTTGTTGCACATGCCTTATGGTGAGATATATTGTAGAACACAACATAACTAGTCATATAAGGCAGACAAAGGTAAATAAACCAAGCTCCTCATATACACGAAGACCACAAAACTTGGGTTTATAATGGTAGATGACCAATCGTGGATTCTAACCTTTTTGTCCAGGACCTGATTTTTTTGACCATTTTTTTATTTAAGCTAAAAAATTATCATTGACAATGCATACTTGGATGAAATATGCTACCAAGTGATTTGAAGCAAACCAACAGTGGAACATAAGAAAGTGCAAAGACTAAAGCCGAATGTATATTGTTGTGGCAACTTCTCAATAAGTTCTCCACCATTTAGAATTTGGCATTCAATCCTAATGAATCTTTGGAATTTCGAAAGAAATAGCTAAATATATAGTTTTTCTAACCGATAAACCTAATATATTTCTAAGCTACTCTTAATTCTACATATGTATCATACGAGATTTGAACCCTCAACCTTAAATATAGATGCAACATCTGCTGCCACTAGACTATAAACTCTTTGGTAAGAAGAGATATAACCATCTAGATAATTTTTACCAAGAGTTACATTTTGCTTAAAAATATTTTATATTTAATATATGACTAGATATTTATTTAATAACAACATTTCAGAAATATATGATCACTAACAGCTGATGAAGTTATATTTGCAAAAGATTCTCAAAAACATGTTAGAAGATGAACTGTTACATCTACGAAATTAAATTGAATTTACTAGTAATCATAATGCACTCGTTAGTACTATGATTACAAACCACAAAGGCTTCGAGTCGGCAGTGATGGAGGATATGACGATAATGGGGTAGGAGTAATAGTACCTAGTCCATTGAGTTCTTTGTTGACGATGGCGATGGAGGCAAAGAAACGAGATTCATAGGGATTGGAAAATTAGGGAGGGGGGGGGGGGGTGTCATCGGTAACGACCAGTAGGAGGAAAATATATTACGCTAGCCCTTTTTATTAATTTGGTCTATGTACGAGTTTTTGCTATTTGATCTCTTTAGCTATAGTTTTTATTGATTTGGTTTAAGGGTAAAATTGTGATATTTAAAAATATAACAACCAACTAGTTAGATTTAACGGTGAAATGACCTACTATGCAAGAAATGAAACCACGGAGACACAATGTATCAAACTTTTTGTAGGTTGAACTAAATTGCAAATTTGGCCAAACCAAATCGACCATTTTGTAATTTAATTAATTAATTATATATATATATATATATATATATATATATATATATATATATATAAATTGTATTGATTTAAATAAATCCAACCATGTTTGACATAAATTAAAAGGCAAATATCATAAAAGCCACAACATTTTCACGTGTAATTGGGAAAAAGTTCTATTTTTTTTTTGTTGGCTCTGGCCACAAATGGGACGTAGAGTTATCACTCTAGCCCATTTAATAGGTTTCATGGTTAACTCTGTTATATTTTTTGCAAAATCAGTTCTAAAAGTTAGTTTAAAGTTCAAATTTGGTCCCTGTAGTATCCAAAAAATTACACCACATGTCCAAAACTCGTTTTTATGTTTTTTAACTTCTTTATTTTCATTTATTATTTATTTTTTATTCGAAACTATACTTGGTTTTATATTTTTTTTCATTTGATTAATATTTTTCGTATTTTTTTTTACGTTTTTTGTATTTTTTTTTACGTTTTTTCATATTTTTTCGTATTTTTTTTCTTTCTTTTTGTATTTTTATTGTTTTTTTATCACGTTTTTTGTTTTTTTTTTCGGTTTTATGTTTTTTAAATTCTTTATTTTCAAGAAAAAAGTTATCGAATTCATGAAAAAAAAAACGAAAAAATGAACAAATTAAAAATACGAAAAAAATAAAAAATAATACGAAAAAAACTAAAAAAATATGAAAACGTAAAAAACCAAAAAAAAATACAAAAAATATTAAAAAAATGAAAAAAAAAATATAAAACTAAGTTTAGTTTTGACTAAAAAATAAAAAATAAATGAAAATAAAGAAGTTAAAAAACATAAAACCGAGTTTTGGACATGTGGTGTAATTTTTTGTAAACTATAAGGACCAAATTTGTTAAACATAATTTTAAGACTGATTTTGCAAAAAAAAAAAAATAACTGATTTTGTAAACCATGAAACTTATTAAATGGCTAGAGTGATAACTTTAAGTCCAATTTGTGGTCAGCCAACAAAAAAATAATAATATGATTTATTGTGGTTTTTAACTTTTTATGGTATTTGCCATATATTAAATAGTCAACTTTCATCTAATTTTGTCATTTTAGATTTTGTTTGGTATTTGTTAGCTAATTTATTTTTTAAGCTTATCGTAATATGGTTGTTGAGATTCTAAAAATAAGTTATCGTAGTTTGTAAAATACTAAAATGTGTTTTGACGTTTTAATTGAAAAATTATGTTTTGGTTTATAAAGTTAACTTATGAATAAGTTATCTCTAGCTAATTAAAATATTAGCTTAAGCAAACATTTTAATTAGCAAATTGATAAGTTAAAAAGTCAAACACATCCTTTAGTATATTTGTTGTGCATGGCAGTGGTGCATAACCAACCAGCTACTTTTTCTTAGTGAGTGTTAAATTACTAAAGAAAAATCCAACAAGGATGATAATGTAAAGGTATATAAACACGCACTCCTTTCTTTTTCTTCTTCTTCTTCCTCCTTCCATTTCATTTCCATGCCTTATCCCCTCCAACAGCAATGGCTATTTCCACCTTTTCTTCAGGCTTCCGGATTAGCCTGCATCAACAAAACCCCCAAAAAACTCAACTTCAATCCTTCAAAAACCTCTCCAATTCTTCTCTTTCTCTTTCCTCTCTCTTCATCTTCCTCAAGAATCTTGATCCTCAATTCCTCCAGCAGCAATTTTCCACCACCCATCTTAGAAGATAACTCCGCTGATTCCCCCCTGCTTGAACTGGACCTGCAACTCCAGGATTCTCAAAATTCTTCTGTACCCGATTCGGACGATCTTAACCTCTTGATCCGCAATCTGTTAAAGGATTCAAAAACTGAAGAAAGGGGTTTTGAATGTTATCAGAAAGCTACGAGAAATCCCGACTTTGTACCCCAAAGGTCAACTTTGCATCATCTCATCAGGTACTCAATGCGTTTGAACAACTGGAATTTGGTGTGGTCAATTTCTGAAGATTTTAGGAAATTTAATGTCTACCCAGATGCTTCAAACTGTTCTAGATTAGTCAGTAGTTGCATTAGAAATAGAAGATTTAAACTTGCTAATAATTTGCTTCAAATTCTGCAATCCGAGAAAGAAGTTGCCGGCGTAAGCTTTAATTCCGCCATGAAAGCCTACAACAAGCTTCATATGTACAGTAGCGCTGTTAACGTCTTCGAAATAATGAAATCTTCGAGTATCAAATTAGATGCAGAAAGTTACAGCCATGCAATGGAAGCTTATCTTAAAATGGGCAAGAACGAAACTGTCGTGTCATTGTTTAAAGAATTCGAATCCAGTGAAATCGAACAGACATCCTTTTGCACTCAAATTTACAGAGTTTTATGCGAATCTTTAGGCCGATTAGGAAAACCCTTTGAAGCTCTAGATTTCTTCAGAGAAATGACGAAAAAGGGTTTCCCACAGGACCCATCTTTTTACTCCTCGTTAATCTCTTCATTTGTAAGCATTCAAGAAGTGAAAACAGCAGAAGAGCTTTTACAGGAAGCCGAGGCCAAAAAGATGTTAAGAGACCCTTCAGTGTTCTTAAAGCTTGTGTTAATGTACATTGAACAACCCGATTCAATGGAAAAAACTCTCGACATTGTTTCGTCTATGAAAAAAATGAACCTTAGAGTTTCTGATTGTATCTTTTGTGCCATTGTGAATGGGTTCTCCAAGAAAAGAGGACCAAATTCTGCCATTAAAGTGTATCAAGATTTAGTCTCGGAGGGGCACGAACCAGGGCAAGTGACCTACGCTTCAATCTTGAACATATACTGTCGCATCGGTCTCTATGAAAAAGCCGAAGGGGTATTTTCGGAAATGGACAAAAAAGGGTTCGATAAATGTGTGGTGGCGTACTCTAGCATGATTGCAATGTACGGGAAAACCAACAGGATTCGGGACGCGATGAGACTTGTTGCTAAAATGAAAGAAAAAGGGGTCGAGCCAAACGTGTGGATTTACAATTCTCTCCTTGATATGCATGGGAAAGTGTTGAATTTAAGGCAAGTAGAGAAGATATGGAAAGAGATGAAAAGAAGGAAAGTTATGCCGGATAAAGTGAGTTATACGAGTGTTATAAGTGCGTATAGTAAGGCGAGGGAGTTTGAGACATGTATCAAGTATTACAATGAGTATAGGCTTAATGGTGGTGGGATTGATAGGGCAATGGGTGGGATTATGGTGGGGGTGTATTCGAAGATGAGCAGAGTGGATGAAGTTGTGAAGCTTTTGCAGGATATGAAAATGGAAGGTACAAAGTTAGATGCAAGGCTTTATCGATCTTCATTGCATGCTTTACGGGATGCAGGTGTGCAAATTCAGGGGAAATGGTTGGAAGAAAGCTTTGGTCCATGAGGATGAATGAAACTACATGTAGCAAAGTGTTCGTCCTCCTACATTTTATAAATATGTACATGATAGTGGACAAATTAATAATTATTTTATTATAACTTTAATTTAAATGTTACTAGTATATATTAGTTTAAATGTAATTAAAACAATTTTCGTCCAAACCCTCAAATTGAGGGTTGACTTCCGGCAATCACAATCTCACATCTTGGTAATTGGAGCCTGAAGCAAAGGTAAAGCCTCTTAAATTTTGGGCCAATTTCATAAAAAAAAAAAAACTAAATGTTAGGTTAAAAGGTAAAAAATTGGAATATTTTCATGGTTTTTGTCTTTTTGACCAAATTTGTAAAAGTCAAAGGTTAAGAAAATATCCTAAATAAAGGAAAGGGTGTTTGGATTCCTTTTAAATTCTAAAAGGACTTTTGGCAAGAACTACGTTATGACTTTTTTAAAAAGAGTTTTTAAAAAAATGTTTTGATTAACTTATGGTGGGAAAAATCAATAAATTAAAAAGTTAAAAAGTGTTTAGCTTCATTTTCAAAGTCAGTAAGTCAATAAATGGAGTTTGCAAAAGTTATATATCCTAACTTTTTAAAAACTCATTTTCAAAGGCTTAAGTAGAAATTGCTTTAAAAAACATTTTTTCTTTTGCCAAATACTTTTTAAAATTTATTGATCTGTCAAGAACTCAATAAGTTAATAATGAATTTTTAGATGAAATCTCAAATATGCTAACACCGCAGTGTTTGGGTTGACCGGGTTGGACCGTTGGATGCTAAAAGAAATGAGTTTGGCCCAAAAGGTGGATCCATATTATTATTCACATGCTATGTGTTGTGAACTTGTGATGGGGCAGAAGCTAAAATCATAAAAACAAATATTAAGGAAAGCTGTTGTGTTTGATTGTCGATAAGTTAAAAATTATGAATTTATTTTTTATGCATTCTAATTTTAATTTTAAACATTCAAACGTATATACCATTTCATGCATTAAATAAAATTCAAAAAGAAATGTTGATTTTCTACTTTTATTTTTCATCGTCATCAACACAATCTGTTCGAAAGTTAAACTCCGTTTTTACCATTTTCTTCATTTCTTCATAAAAATATGTGGTTCACTGGAAATATAAAATCGATATAATATATTAGATCGAAATCTATTTCGTTCACATTAATTAAGCACTATATATATATAAATTTCAGTCAGTTAACAGTGACTAATATATAGGCATGTTGAGGTTCTTTAATTTAGTCATTTTAATTATTGTCGCTGAACATTGACAGATGGTTTATTGGAAGCCAAGATTCAGTAAGAAAATAGAGGAAGTTAGTAAATGTTTACTACGTGAAGCCTATCATTCTATATGCATGCATGGTTTGGAGTAGTTACATAAACGCAGAGTTAGCCGTTTTCCATGAAGGAATTCTCTCTTTTGCCTCTGGACTATATGATACATCGCAACTTTGTACAATTGGGATGGAGCGATCTGTACATTCTAATCTAGCCTGCCTCTCTTTACTGGCAATGCTTATAATCTCAGGTCTCTCTCTCTCTGTCTCTCTCTCTCTCTCTCTCTCTCTCTCTCTCTCTCTCTCTCTCTCTCACACACACACACACACACACACACAGTTCTTAAATTGTTGTTTTAATATTTTCGTCGTAAACCATCACTCGTTTTTTTACAAAAAGATTTAAAAACACCAAAGTTCCAATACGATGTTGGTTAATTATGTGTATTTACTATATATGGCAGAGATGAGTTCAAGTATGGGAGTGGAGACAAAATCATGCAGATATTCGAGCAAAACCTACAAAGGGTTATGTTTCTATAGCAGAAATTGTGATATCATTTGCAAGGCTGAGGGTGCTCCGGGTGGAGGTCACTGCCAAATCTTAACCTTGCGTTGCTTCTGTAATGTTTGCGATCCAGACTAGCTCTCAAATCGACTATATATTGGACTAGCTATACAAAAATATTTGAGGCTTGCATGATCATATATGATTTTTATTGTAAACATTCTTGTTAATTTGGATATATTTAGGTATAAAGACAAAGTAATGAATGACAAGTGTTCGAGTCAAGACGTCTGTTATATGATAATTAATCGGTCATGACTCATTATTTTTTGATTAATTAACTTTCGAAATAATATTTATGATTTTAAGCCACGTTGACACTATGGGTGATTGTTTATCACATTCGCAAGGCTTTCAACTTGCCAACAAATTAACTGAGCATTGGTTGACAAATATTGCAAGAACAGTTGTGCTGTTGTGATGCCAATTGCCAAATAATCATTTGGGCATATCACTAAATTAAATATCAATTTATTTAACTAATGAAATATAAAAATATTATAAATTATTTTATTTTTAACTAATAAATAACAATTTATTATTATATTTATTTTTAAATTTATTTGTTACGTTAAATTATTATTTTTTAACTATATTTATTTTGTTAAGAATATATATAATTTATATGTTATTAATAATTATTCAACTAACGTTACATGCATGCAATACAAATTAACAGTATTATAATAATATTAATTTATTTAATATGTATTAGTTACAAATAACTAGGATATTTGTTAAAATCATATAAAATAGTTGTTGATATATTACTTGAGCATCTTTGAAAGAATGTTGGTATTATTGTTATTGGTGTAATATGGGAAGGGACGAGACAGCCTTCTTCTAAACTAAATAAAATAGGATTCTGCGGACCCCTCCCATAGTACGGTACGATGCAGCTGAAAAACTTAATAGGCTACCGCGGCTCGCTACGCTTTTGTTGCGGAGCTCACTGCTTTTGGAGTAGTGCTTGCAGCTTGCTGCTTTCTGTTCAAGCGGAGCAATATCTTTACTTTAATATAAGAGTCTTGCTATTGCAAATGCAAATCCCGTTTTAATAGAATAATTAAAATAATAAACTCGGAACTCCGAAAAGTAATTTCATTATTATTTTAAATTATTATAACCCAAAATCGAAATAATAATTAATGGAGTGTTGGTTTCGGGAAGCCAAATGTCGTGATTTAGAGTCTCGGGGGTTAAAGCATAGTTTCAGATTTGTTTGAAAAGAATTTCAAAGGTTAGGGTGACTTTGGTAAATGTTGTACCTAATTTGTAATGAATTATGAGAGATGGGGGTTATTTGGTAAGTATTGGATCAAAGTTGGAAGGATTTTATGAACTCAGGGGCTAAATGGTAATTATTGGAGCTGATTTGAAAAGATCCCAATGGGGAGGGGCCGAACTTGTAAAAATGGGCAAAGGTTTGATTGAAGCGGGATTTAAACCCGATGGCTTCTTCTTCCTGTTACATTACCCTAACCCTAAACGTTGAAGCAGCCGCCACCCTCCTTATGCCTCCCTTCGCTTATGCCACCGTATCCTCACCTGTGAAGTCGGAAGGCCACCGAAGCCAGCCGTCGGAGCCACTGACAACCGCCCCTGCTGCAGATGACGCTGTGCGCAACCGGAGGAGCTGGCAGAAACCGAAGTTTGAAGCGGAAGACGTTGTCGCGCGGGCCAGGAACGATCAGGAAGCTCTCGATGTGCCAACCACATCTCATTTCTTTGTTCTCCCCTACGGGTTTGACGTCAGGATCTCTGGTGTTGCCGACAACGGCTTTTGGTCGCCACCTCAACTCATTCCAGCGCCACCTGCTGCCTAGTTGATGGATTGGAGCAGTGGCCTTGCGTCGAGTATGGATATAGGTTGCTGATTGATCACGGGTTGTTGTAAACGAGTTTTGATGCCGGAAGTCAAGGAAGACAACCACCATGGCCGCCAGCCATGGTGGCCACCGCTGCTGCTGCCTTCTTATGGTGCTACCGCCGCCAAAACGCCACCAGGTGGGTGGCTGTGTTGCTGTTTTGAGCATAGAGAGTGCGTATGTGTTGATTGTTGATGTAGGCTTAGGTTTGTGTGGCTTGAAGATCAAGGATAGCCACCACCACCATCGTTAGGTGGTGGCTGCCACCATACACCACTGTGTGTGTGTACTTAGCTTATTGTGTGTGTTAATTGGGGTTTGTGTTGTATGGTGTAATCGATAAAGGATAATGGAAAAGAAAACCCTAACCACCACCGTGTGGTGGTGGCTGCCGCCTCCTGTCACCACCAGCCGCCGTGTCGGGTGGCGGTGTGCCTCGTTGATGCTGTGATTTGGTTTGGATGTTTGGACAAGGGACTAAAACCCTAATGGGCTCAAAGAAGCCTTAATGGGCTTAGTGAAACCCTATTGGGCCTAATGAAGCCATAATTGACATTAAAGCCCAAACATGTGTCTAATGGGTCTAATGAACCCTAATTGACCTTAGGAAACCCTAATGGGCTTAAGGACCTAGCTATTGGGCCTATTGGGCTAAGATGGGGTTGGAAACCCTAATTAGGGTTTAGAAAACTCTAATATTAGATTTATGGGCTTGGACTTATTGGGACCCACTTTTGAGCCATTGGAATGGAATTGTGTAATTAAGCCCAATCACACCATATGACTTATTTAGAAGAATGATGGACTTAATGGATTAAGTCCTTAATGGATCAAGTCTTTAATGGGTTAAGTGAGAAACACTTAACCATACTCGTCATTTTATGTGAAAACCCTATTATCACTTGGGTTTTATTATTGGGCCTTTCTATTGGGCCTTGATGATTGGGTTATTAAATGGGCCATCCAAGATTAAGCAAATGGACTAGAATAATTAATGGGTTTTGGGGTAAGGCCCATGTATGCGGTTTGGGCCCAATTTGGAAAATTGGGCCATAGAAGGGCCATAGTCTGGGCCTTATTGATTATATGATGTTGGGCCTTAGAATAAGACCATGTATAGGTTTGGGCCCAATTTGGAAAATTGGGCCATATGTTGGGCTTTGATTCCCAGTTGACTTTGGGCCTATGGATTGGGCCTTGGGCTTGAATAAACCCCAAGGATGCATTTATGGTTATGTGTTGGGACCCAATTATTAATTGGGTGTTATTTTGGTGCTGAC